GAGCAGACTGGTGGAGGGGCATGGGGCATGGGTGTCAGCAGGTAGAGGAAGGTGGTGAGACTGAAGTAGGGGCATCAGCTGAGAGGGGGCTGCCCCCAAGCCAGGGCAGGTTCCCTGCAGAGACCCAGCCATGGGTAGCATGGGGAAGCTCCTGGTAGTGGGACATGTTTCCCTGAGCCTCTCATTCCTTCCTCAGGTAGGCCCCTAGCAAAGGTACCTGTAGGCAGGCCCAGCAGCCAAACAGGAGCTTGGAGTAGGAAGAGGGCCTTGAGCTTTGTGGTCCAGCTCTGCCACTAAGTGGTTGTGTGACCTCTGGCAACACTCTATTTTTGTACCTATAAAACCAGGACAAATGGTTTCTTTCCCAGGCCTTTAGCAGCTGGGGAGTGGGGATAGTGGTTGAGATCATGTGTAGAAAGTGGCTATCACAGTGCCTGCCCCATGGAAAAAGCATTACCCCCATTACAGTGAGAGGTGAGGTGCAGAAGACTGCCTGGCATCACAGTGAGCCAAGGCAGAGGCTGGTACCCAAACAACATACATGGCTGCTTGAAGGTGGGGCTCTGTTGGCTTGGCCACAGGCACAGAGAACAAGAGGTGTAGTGTTTCCCTGGGGGCAGGAGGTTCTCTGAGTTTCTGGAAGTCCAAACAGAGCACTATGCCTGTCTCAGCAGTGCTTGCTTGCTGGCTCCTATTCTGCATCTGACTGAGCCCACTCCTGTGGCTGGCTGGTGTGGAGGAAGCATAGGGCAGACTGGCTGCATAGTCCTGGTGGTCTCAGAACACAATGATGTGTGGCTCCTGTAGGGCCAGGCCCCAACACCTGTCCCTCAAGTGGTTTCAGGTGGACATCCTGTCCTGCCCACCACCACCTCGGTGACCCACAATGACAGGTGGGCAGGACCTTCCTCTTTAGCTCGTTTCCAGCCTCAGTGCCTCCTTTGTGGGTCACTGAGGAAGCACTAGGCAGGGAGTGGTAGTGGAGGGCTTGGGACGAGGTCTTGCCCAGGACAGGCATATCAGCTTTGAAATCTGGGTGTGAGGTTTTTCTTACTTTACCCTGGAAATATAGTCTGTCAATTGTTTCCAAGTGGAAAGTGTTGGAAGACTTTTTTGCATGGCACATTCTAGGGAGCAGCCACCCACCATATGTACCACTGCCATCCACGTGATCCTGTGGTCCAAGGTAGAGACCCTTCTGGCTTACTTATAGGTTTGGCTAAGGCCAACCTCATGATCAGTGACTGGGTGTGTACTAATGTCTGTTGTTATAGCCAAGGGCAAGAGCAACCCCTTGACCTGGATTGGAAGGGCCAGGAGGTGTGGACTCCTGCCAGGAATACACTGTACCTTACAGGACAGACAGTTAAGTCTACTCCCACAGTCCTGGGAGAGGTTCAAGCAGCCTGCACACCAGCCTAGCACTGGGCCTTCTGCTCAATCACCTGTGTTTCACATTACCAAAAAACCTGAGCATGTGGTTGCACTACCACGAGAAACGTTTTCCAGGCAAAATGCCTGAGGAATTTCTACCTAGGGGAGACCTTGGGCACCCTGTGAAAAATCAGGACCTGACCAGTCTCAGGAATCTTCTCTCACTGGCCTTCTTGGGAACGAAAGGGAATTTAAAATCAAAAGAACATGACCAAACGGTTTGTAAAAAGTTGGCTTTATTTGTCACTTTTTCACCTTATCTCAGTTATGCCATTTTGGCATCCACAGTGACAGTCCCTGGAAGCTGGGGTCAGCCCCTACCCACCATGGTCAATAACCACAGAGCAGGAGCCAGAGCCTTGTGGGGCCCCACTGTTGGTTACAGATTGCAGGCAGGGCCCAGCACCCTCCAATGCACAGCCCCTGAGCCTGGGGACTGCTGCCCTGCCTGCCAGAGGCTGCAGCATTCCTACTGGTGCAGCCAAGCAGACCAAGTTGGGGGGAGGCATTAGGTCTCTGCTCAGGACTGGGTCTGACAAGGCCACATGTGGTATGGTGGTACACCCTGGACTGGGGGTTGAAGACCCACTGGGAACCTCCTGGTTCTGTGGCTGACTTGCCGGTGGTTTTAAGCAAGTTGCTTCTTGTCCCTTGGTCAGTTTGTTTTCTGTTAGCACTGCTAGTGAGGACTCCTAGAAGTCCTCCTGACTCAGGTGTCAAGCTTGCCACCTCTACTGAATTGTGACCATGGCTCTGTGTTTCAGAGGCAGCTGTGTGCCTGCTGCTGGTGGGATGTCTCTCTACATGGCTGCACTTACCCCTAGTGCGCCCTTCTTAGAACTGGGGTGTTCTCCAGCAAGAAGCCCTTAGGCTTGCAGTGCCTGTTGTTCCTGCTGCCAAGTACTGCTGGGTGCCTGTCCCCTAAGAGGGATCTTCCTAGAGGCCTTAGAAAAGGTTCCAATTCCTAAGATCTAGATCACCTGTAACTGTGAAAAAAACTTACTTTACACATAATTATGAGTCTTTCTATAGCAAACATTGGAGCAACGTACCAAAAACACAAGCTCTTTGACCCTGACAGCATCACAGATCTTGGGCCTCTGCCCTTCTCTTCTGGTAAAGCTTGGAGATCGATGCATCTTGTCATTTATCTTACTTGCATTTGGTCCTAAGCACAATGAAAGAGTTCTAAAAACACAAGTGGGAAGTGTTCAGTCTAAAGGGTGATGGTGATCTGTGAACACCAAGTAAGTTGCTGTCTTTCCATGTCTGAGTGCCTGCCACAGTGCCTCCCCTTGGTAGGGGTGAGTGGGGAGTGAGGAGACCATGGGGGGCCAAGTCCAATGACAACTGGAAGAAATGCACAGTCATCATTTCAGGGGCCCTCTGCACAACATTTATCTAGCTCAGCCAGGCGCAACTTTATAAAACTGAAATCCCAACCTCGCATGCAGAAGAAGGAAGGGATGGCCCAAGAATGTCTGCTGGGAAATTCATCCCTCTCTTTTGAAAGCAGCTCTGCCCTAAAAAACTACTTTTAAAAGTAGTTTTAAATTGTCTTCCAGAGAACAAGTTTTAAGCAGATGTTCCTACCCCTGACCATGAGGGGACATGCTAGTAAGTCACCCATATCCATCAGAAAACACATAGTCTGCTTCCCAGCCTCATGTCCTGTTGGCATATTGAAACAAAGTCCTTTCAACGATGTTTGTGCTTTTAACCAACAAAATGTTCCCTTCTAGGGGAACAGCTGGGACCACTGCAGCTGCCTATGGCACTGAGAAGGTGCAAAGGTTAAAACAAAAGTTACATGGACACATGGGGAGTCATTTATCCTCCCAAGCTCTGGTCATCAGCTGGACAAAACCTCACTTCTACAGTTCTTTCGCCAATTTCAGAATAAAAAAGCAAAATTTCAAATCAGAAATTTCTAGCACTTTACAAAGTGGAATGACAGAATATGAAATTCA